TGACTATGGCTGCAGGCCCGCAGCGGCATCCTTGAATTCCGAAAATTCGAACACGGCCCTCTTTTCTTTCTTTTGCTTTTCTTCGTTTTTTTCTTGCTAAGTACCAGCAGGACTCATCCGTCTCCCCTCCAAACAAAATTCCAATCGGCTCCGAGTCTCAGGCTTAGGCTTAGGCTTATTGATTTTTCTTCCAACACTATCAACATAATACGCGTGAGAACACGCATTTCACAGTAGATAGTAAACAACCAAATGTGAGTTTGCACAAAAAAACCGGCTCGGATCCCGGAGGAATATAATAATATCATTGACATTTCTCGACTCGGAGTTTATATAGGTCACCGAGAACGATTGTCTTCTCGGTCGCCCCGGTATAAAGTCTGGTTTACGAGACTAGACTCGGAGGTCGTTTGACGGGTCGCTCCACGGCGAGGACCGAGAAAGCCCAGGTGGCCTCCCCTTCAATCCACCTCATTCCATTCAATCTAGCTTCATGATTTATGATTCATCAAACAAGCTCTGTGGAATTAACATCGCGTCAAAGACCAAGCTACATAATTTTCGACAATTTATTGCAGTAATTTCCCACGGTTCAAACATATCGTATGAACAGTCAACGACTTTCAACTTCTGTACGGTGCTTATAAATTATAATTACAGTACTTCTGACACAGTACACGCATGATTCATAAGTTTCTGTCTGCACGCACGCAGTCTGAAAATGTAAGCACCGAACGGCGAAAAGTTAATCAACTCTCACACCCGCAGTAGTCATTTTCGGACATGATCTGCGGGTTACATGTATTTCAGACCCGGAGGCTATATACGTACATATATTTCGCCATGGAAGGTGCGAATAGGCATTGAATTGGATTCGAGGTTGATCTTTTCGACTGATACATTACTTACATGTGTTGCAGCTTGCATTCTCATCAAATTCTGCCTATTGCCTTACAGAGCATCAGCTCCGAGTCCGTAACTACTTAAACTTAGTTCGTATACGGGCCCCAGAACCTTTCGCTGAAAAATACCGCTGAAGAACATTTTTTATTCCTTCTTTATATTCCTGCTACTGAACATATAGTATGTGGCGGTGGTGTGAATCTAAACATACATGCGCAATGTACGGTCCAAAGTCAATCTACTTATCTCACTGGAATAGAACAGCCGAGACGGGACCACTCGTATGGTATTGACGGACGACAAAGGACCGCGCAGCCGCTCCCGCATCACTATATTTCACGGACCCTCTCCTCCGAACAGCACCTATCCTCCAATTTTAATTCTCGGATTACTTACATACTATCGCGGTTCGGACTTCGGACTCGGCGATCTCGGGGATGTTGAATTCCCACTAGTTCTTGAATTCACGGAGGCATTTTACACGTATAGAGCTCCCCAGCCGGAGGGACTCATAATCCCGGCCATGGATTTCGTTATGGTCAGTTGGCTGGGCAGCCTACCCGCTGGGATGTGGCTGTTCTCGGATCCGGATTCTTAATACGATTCCATCTTGAAAGATTTCCATACATTGCCTACCTCATAATAAATACACGCGCACCCAAGTCAAACCTAAAAACCACCCCTAAAATCCGGCGCCAAAAAACAACAAAAACCTGGCAATTCCAGAAAAAAGAACGAGGAGAAGGGACAAAAAAAGAAAAAGATGCCTATCGGACGAGGCTAGCGTCAGCCGCCACTGCGCAAACTCAATCCTGTGGCGAGCAGCTGTCGTTCTAGACCTAGGACCTTCCTCAGACCGAAGTCCGAGTTCCCCGAGCACATGTGACGTGGGACGATCCAGCGCTCAGCGACCGTTATAGTGCGCCTCCTGACGGATTCGAACCGTCGACCTTCGTATTTCGGACAATGCCGGGTTTGGAAGGATGATAACCACTGGACTATGGAGGCGTGGAGATTCTCCACATAAAATGGATCTCGCGCCTTGTGTGAATATGAGAACTTCAGGGACTTGGTCACACCTATAGCAGTACTCGAGGATTTCGTTGACTAGAGGCCAGGGACGACAAAATGCCAGCTACAGCTGGCCACCGCCTAATTTTCTCCCACTGAGCGACAATTTGAGGCGCTAAATACGCCGATGCGTGGAAAATGGCGGACTAGCCTGAGTAATGAAACGATTTTTTTTAACCACCAAAAGATAGATTCCCTTTTAGGCCGATATTTCTGATGATCTGATCTGTTGCAAATGGGGATATTACGCGCTTGTCTTGGTCGAGCGACTCGGACTGAACAGAACTTTATGAAGGCTTTCAAATGGTGTGACGCAATGTCACGCGTGCGCTGGCATCACAAGGGCATCGCATCACCTTTTACACTACCACCACATCTCCTGCCGCCTGCGCCACCTCGCGACACCTCCCATGGCCAAAAGAACACGCAAGCAAAAGACTAGTACCAGTGTCGGCGCCTACCCCAATGACAGCATGAAATCTGATGTCACAGCCGCTATTGAAGATCCTACTTTCGATGTCCATCTCCCGTGGATGCTCCCGACGACGTGGGGTCTCGTGGAGTCAAAGGACGAGGCAGTCCGCAACAGACTTCGCCTTCGAGGAAGAATTGCTGTCCGCTATGCCCTATTACTGGCTTTTGAAGAGTTTGTCTCAGAAGATGACGCGAGGGCGAGTTTTTCGTCAATGTATAATGTAGGCGCATACAAGCCGCAACGCAACGTCTCCTTCTCACGTTTGATTCAGGCTTTAGAGGAATGCCTCCTTTCCGAAGAGGTATTATCTGCATTGCTGACGAAGCCACACCACCACGACGTAAAGCGAGTGACGAGTGAGGGCGTCTCGTACGTCAGTGGAGGATTCAACGTGTTCATGGGAGGACTCTGGACAGAAGCCCAACTCTCCAAGATTTCGCCCTGGGTCAAGACCTTGTTCGTCCCCCTTTTTCGCGTCGCCGTAGAGGGTAACACTTCAAGGTTCGGCCTATTTTTTAGCCTCCCTCCCTCAACGTTTCTCAGTACTTGACCAGCCGAAATGTCGTCAAGCGGTCGCGAGTCGACAGGGAAGTGTCGGAAACTTCTTGTGGTACGTCCCCCAACCCCGTGAACCTCCCCATTCACCGCCCTCTAACTATCGCGATTCGCAGAATCGCAAGTACTACTTCGACTTCGTAAACTTCAATTGGCCAAAAAGCCTGAAAAAAAGCCAGCCCCCGTCCCACAACATGTTCGTTCCTCGAGGACTGAGCCCTCTAGCGCCGAAGACGACTCCCACTCCAACGTTGACTCTCTCAAAGTTCCTCAAAATATCACGAAGAACAGAGCGAAGGATGCGTGCAACGCCGCAGAAGAAAACGAGGCACACGAAAAATCTCCTGCAAATCTTCTGCAAGGAACGACAAACGACACCAACTCTCCGAGTAGTGTGTGCGAGGATGTATGGCTTAATCCTCGTACTTTTTCTGCGGATAGCTGACCTGCCTGACCAAACTTTCTGTAAGGTGCCTGAACTTAGTGCGGACTTAGTGACCGTCGGTACGCTGTACGTGAGCGACGACCCATTCTGGTGTACTTCGGCTGCGGATGCTCCGGAACCTGTTCCGCTGTTAGATGCCTTCACGCTGAAGGTGCGTAAATCATCTGTACTACTCCTTAAACTGACGATCTCTTTAGACGCCGGCGAGGACAAGGAATCAGAGCCCAAGGCAGGATAGTCACTGGGTATCTTACACTGGCAAAACACATCATCCTTCAATGGCGACGTCCTCGCGGCACCCGCTGAGCCCACGCGCCTTAAATGGTACGTTGACTCGTTTCCAAATATCAGATAATGCCAAATATCAGATAATGTTAATTTTGCTTAGCAGCTTCTCCTGGTCTCGGTCCCTCAAGTTCCTTTGTGTCTTCGTCTAGTCCATTCGGTCGGCTCTTCCTCTCTCCTGGGCTCCTCTGGACGCAAGATCCGCTGTTGTGATTTCACGGCCTCCTAGCTCCGCTTGACTCTCTGTTCTCGGTCGCCGTTCTCACTTCCGAAGACTTATCCTGTATCCCTTTACACCCTATTGCCCATTCATTTCTTGCCGATTTTTTTTTTACTCTTCGTGTCTTTCAGCATGTAGCGTCAGAATGGTATTTCGCGCAAAGCGCTCAACTTCGATTATCACGCGTGCATTTGATTCGCAAACTGTCAACAATTTCTAATAGTATTTTCGCGCCTCGCATAAACGGCCCGATCACCGAAAGTCTCCCATCCAAATACGACCACACACGTCTTACTTCCTACCGTCGTCGTGCCGCTGCTCGTTCCACTCACCTGCCATATCTCGTACTCCTGCCAGCTTGTTCTCTGACGCCATCGCACCAGTTTACCGCCCCCACCGTCTCCTTTATTATCCGCTATTTATTTATTATATTCAGATTCCGACTGATTGACGGTACTTATTCTTCCATTTCTTGTTTTACTTACTATGCATTCTGTATTCATAGCACCTTTCAACACGATCGTCTTTTCCAAACTATTCGTCCCCTGTCCTTCTCGTCCCAGCCCCCGTCATTGCCGTGGGTTTTTAGTTCTTGTCGACCTCGTCGCCGCTCTACTGGCGGCAGTTCGGCCCAAGCTGCTGACCAGTGATTGTACCACCCACCCACACGTATTCCGCTTCCTCCTTCTTGTCTCGCCTCACGTTTGGATGGTTGGTTGGTCTGTCATTGTTCAGAAGCCATTCCCCAGGTCCTTCTTGCAAAGATATCATCTTGCGGGCGGAGAGAACCAATGAATATTTTTGAAGTTCCTTGTTCTCTGTGCGGACTGATATTCCAAAAAAAAACTCCAATTCCAGCAGAAAGTACGAAAGCACACGAGAAGAAAAAAAGATGCCTGTCGGACGAGGCTAGCGTCAGCCGCCACTGCGCAAACTCAATCCTGTGGCGAGCAGCTGTCGTTTTAGACCTAGGACCTTCCTCAGACCGAAGTCCGAGTTCCCCGAACACACGTGGGACGATCCAGCGCTCAGCGACCGTTATTGTGTGTCTCCTGACGGATTCGAACCGTCGACCTTCGTATTTCGGACAATGCCGGGTTTGGAAGGATGATAACCACTGGACTATGGAGGCGCGGAGATTCTCCACGTAAACATGCATGCATGGGTATGTTGCACCCTGTGTGAGAGCTTGAAGGGACTTGGCCACGCCTGATCTGATTTCGTTAACTACGTGTTGAGCGGCTAGGGACGACAAATGCGAGAGCTACGGCTGGCCACCGCCTAATTTTTCCCACTGAGGGATAAATTGAAGTACTAAATATCCCGACGTGTGGAAAATGGCGGTCACTGATAGGTCACTGATGAAACATTTTTTTTACCGACTAAACCAAATGGCAAAAGATAGATTCCCTTTTAAGTCTGATATTTCTGATGATCTGATTCGTTGCAAATGGGGATATAATAATATTACGCGTCAGGTTGCAGACTGAATTGGTAGTTTCGACGATGTTTTCAGCGTGGCTGAAATTTCGCACTTTTCGGTGTGACTTATCATCATCTGGTTTTGCCAGCAGTTTAAAAATAACTTCAAGTATGTCGTGAGAACTTTGAACCCACGTTCATCGAGGCTGCGGGCCGGCGGCACGCCGGCAAATCGCGCTCACCATTCGCAATGTCTAGCTCTGACCTAGGCCTATTTGACGGCTGTGAAGTGCACAGTGTAACCCTGTCTCCCAGCACTGAACCCCGCCGCGTTGAGAAGCTCTGGTTTCGTGATGGGACCCTCGTGCTCGTGACAGACACCTTGCTGTTCCGTGTCTATAGCGGCTTGCTAGCTCAGGAGTCACCGATATTCGATGATATGCTTCGACTTCCTCAACCGGCCGATGAAGAAACTATCGAAGGGTGCCCGGTGGTCCGTCTGTCGGATAACGGTCGTGATGTCGAGTATTTCCTGAAAGCCCTTTTCGACTACAAGTGCGTCTCGTAACTTTGGTTGGGCTACGGGATTGTTGACATAGCTTCAGATTCTTCCTTGCCTTCCCGAGTCGGACAACTTTCGATATCATCACCGGCATAATTCGACTCAGCAAGAAATACGAGGTCGACTCACTCTATAAACGTGCCCTCGTCCACTTCGCATCAGGATTCCCACTGACGGTATCCGAGTATCCACCATCGCCGTCATGGGCTATAGATGGACTTTCTATTCGCACTGTATTATTTGCACGAGAAATGGCGCTAGACTGGGTCTTGCCCGTCGCGTTCTATCGTGTATGTGACCATGCTTCCATCAACGAGATCCTCAACGGGGTCCATTTCGACAACGAACGGTTGGAGCTTTGTCCTGCAGATAAACTCCTATGCCTGGAACGATATGTTCACCTCCGAGGCCCTCCATCCGCACAGATTGTCAATTTTCTCTGGATCCCAGAGAAAATAGACGGATGTCAGAGCAATAGATGCAGAAGCGACCGACTGGAACAAAGGCAAATTGCAGAGGGCTGGAGGGATGAGGGTATATTACCCCTTGGCCTTTGGGTTGATTCGGACTGGCTTCGCTGCCAGGTGTGCTCTACGTGTCTGACTGCGATGAAAACGGCCCACAAGACTTCTTTGGAGAAGTTTTGGGACGATTTGCCTCGGAGGTTTGGATTTTCTCCCTGGGATGAGCTAAAGAAGTTGAAAAGTAGAGACCTGGGTATTCTGATGACGCCGGTAGCTGATGAAGAATGAAGTACTGTATAATTCAAAGTAGAGGACGGAATTCAAACTTAGTCCTTCAAGTTCCGAGTCGCGGGCACACAACATGATACTGGGGCTGTATGCCAAATTTTTCTGCCTTGAAAATATGGACGCTGAAACGGGTTCTACATCATAACTTGATCATAACTTCATTCGATGGCCCTGACATGCCGCTAAGATAGAAGCGATCTTTTTTTCTTGTCCTCTCTCTATTCATACCTTGAACAAAATCGCTGTAGTATTTGGGCTTCTGAATGAGAACGTAATTTCAAGGTTAATAAATCCCTGCGGATAAGAGAAAGACTTTGTGGCAAAAAAAGAACCAACCTCGAGTTGAACAGGCAGCTTCCACTTGATTTCACGCATTGTCTGCCTAAGGGAGTAGAATACACTGCGCGCTACCCGGTCTTATCCACCAATTTTGTATTTATTAGGAGGAGTCAACTCTGGTTCGGGGTTCTCGGGGAAGTTCAAGTTGGTTGTGCGTCCAAAATAGATGCTTCAACGGTTAGTATGAACGAAAAAAATTGAGATTTATATTGGGAAACCAAAGGAATAACATTGAACTGGCGTGTCGACTTGAACGCTACAGTGGAACCATGTATGTAATCCGTGAAGAGGCAGATAAACCATCAGACGTCGATAAGGGGTCCGTGAAAGATATATATATATGGTGTTACATAGGGAAAATGAAGCACTGAAGTCCTTCAAAGTTGTAGTTCTGTGTTTTGACCACCGTGTTGATCTCTGCGGCATTCATGGAATACATGTGATCCCCCGTAACGATCTGGTAGAGACGGTAAAGGGGACTGGCGCCACAGGTGCTATCGGTGTAGACGTATCCGGCGATGCCTTCGAAGGTAAGGCCGGTCCCCACAGCCTGGTCCCTCTCTGTAGCAGAGGGGGTATAAAAGTGCAACTGACTGGGTCCAGCAAAAAGGCGATAAAGTGGCGTAGTCCCCGCCTCTTGTGTGGTGAAGATTCTGCCAACGCTGCTCAGGGCCGTGTACCCCTCCAGCTCGATGGGTTCTCCCACTCAGCAGCAGAAGTGGTTTCAAAGTGATCCCCCGTTGATGCCTTGAACGCCCGTAGCCACGGGACAGCATCTGCAGGGTTCCCGCAAGTCCTGCGCTGAAGAACCATCAGTGTTGAACATTCCAGCTTGTTGTAGGTCAAGAGTTCAGGGTCTGTAACCGTTCTCTTCAGACTGAATATTAAGTATATATACTACCACCTGTCGTTCTCTTCAGACTGAAGAGATCGGCTACAGGCTTGGATAAATACATAGCCCTTGCCGGCCAAACACAACCCTCGTCCCGACTCGTCCTAATCGGGATTGGACGCGAGGTCATACTACAACACTCCCACTGACCTCGCTGTCCAATCCCGCACTACTCTAAACCAATCATACGGCGGCACCGAAGCACTGAGTCGCGTGGAAGAATTTTAGTGAGAAGATCAGCGGGATTTGCGCCAGACTGGCAATAGTGGATAGTGATGCTGCCGTTCTCGATGAAATCGCGAATACAATGATACTTCAATGCAATGTGTTTCGCCTTGTCGTGCATAGCGGGATTTTCGGCAACTGATATCACAGATTGATTATCACAATATATCGGCGAAGGGTGATCCAGAGGTTTCTCCAACAGCTCCCCAAGCAGATTTCGGACGAACATAAGCTCCCGAGCCGAGTGACTGCTTGCAATGTATTCTGCCTCCATGGTTGATTGGGCCGCAACACTTTGTAAGCGGCTAATCCACGAGACGGCGCCTCCCGCAAGGATCACGACTGTACCAGATGTAGAGCGTAACTTGTCTTTGTCGCCAGCCCAGTCCGCATCCGTGAAAGAGAACAAGGTGTCGGTTATTGGAGTTACGAGACGGCCTGGACCACGGTACGTGATCCCCAAGTCGAGCGTACCTTTGATGTATCTCAAAAGATGCATCAACGCATTCCAATGCTCGATTCCGGGATTGGAGCTGAATCGGCTACAAACTCCCACAGCAAACGCCAGATCCGCACGCGTGCCCAGCATTCCGTACATCACGCAGCCCAGAACGCCGAGGTAATCCTTTCCATCCATAACTTGCCGCTCCTCGGCTGTTTTTGGAGACATCTCCTTGGTTAATTTCGTACCGACCGGGAACGGGGTAGATACAGCCTTGCAATCTGCCATCCCAAAAGTTCGAGCACACCCTGGAAGTATTTCTTCTGGGAAATGCGTACAGTCCTAGCATCGAGGTCCTGGGAAATTTCGAGACCGAGGCAATATGAGGCGATACCGAGGTCCTTCATTTTAAGACGTGCTGACAGCTTGGCCTTCAAAATATCCCACGTAGGTTTATCGTTTGTTGCGCCCTGTAGATCGTCGACATATAATGCAATGACAACAATGATAGCGCCACGTCGGCAAAGATAGATGCTGTGGTCGGATTGGAGACGCGTGAACCCGAGGGATTTGAAGATTGAGTCAATGAGTTGATACCATTGGCGGGAAGCTTGCTTAAGACCGTAGATTGATTTGTGGAGGCGTAAAACCATCTCCTCGCCTTGTGCATTGAGTTTAGGGGGTAGGCCAGGTGGCTGAGACATGTAAATTTCTTCGTCGAGTTCGGCATTGAGGAAAGCAGTGACGACGTCCATTTGATAAATTGTAAGACCGAAATGCGCGGCGACAGCGAACATAATGCGGAGGGACGTAAATTTGACCACGGGAGCAAATGTCTCCTTATAGTCGATCCCATAAATCTGCGTAAATCCACGTGCAACGAGGCGGGCTTTGAAGCGCTCAAACTCGTTCCACTGGTTATACTTCACGCTGAAGACCCACTTGCAAGTTATCACCTTGCGGCCCTCTGGAGCATCGACATATTCGAAAGTTCCTGTCTCGATTAGGGAACCGAACTCCGACATCATCGCGTCGGCCCACTCTTCCGAGTATGCGCTGGCCATGGCTTGCTTGAACGACAATGGGACGACGATTGGCGGCGCCGGAAACTTCGCAGCACGTGCATGTGCTTGAGGCTCCTCCTCTTCCTCCTCCTCCTCAAGCACTGGCACATCCTGTGGCTCAACAGGGACTGATTTCACTTTGTAGCGGCCTTTTGGAAGATTTCCACGCTCGTCCACCATCGTCTCGAAACGTGCAGGAAGCTTACGCGTCCTCGGCACTCTCGGCTGTTCCACCTCCACCTCCTCATCCTCGCTCCTATCCCCATGTCCTTCCTCCTCCACATGCTCTTCCTCCTCGGACTCATACTCATTCGAGTCAACACTATCCACAGGCGGCAACTTTGGTGAACTCTCGGGGTAGAAGGTACTCCAGCAGCAGTGGGGGAAGGATTTGGGATAATTGGCGGCAGATTTCGAAGGTCCGTGATAACTTC